GGTGAAAAAATAGGCACTGTCTGCTTAATAGAATGATGAGATACAAAGCTTGAAATTTATTTTATATATTAAAAACACGTTGGTTTTGCTAGAGCCTCATATATATTAAATGCTTTAAATTTTTTATAGCAGATAATGTAATAATTTGCATATGACAACTTACTAAAATAATAACAATGAATGAATATGTGACATTACATTCCTTGAATTATCAAGAAAAAGGCTTTTAGAATAAAATATTTCTATGGAAATTTATAAACATAATTTAATTCTGACTATAAGTTTTTAAATTTGTTGATCAATTTTATTATAGAATTTTCTTCAATTTCTAGAATGCCGATCATTACAATTTTAGAAATTACATATTTGGTAATAATCCTGACTGTAATATATAGATTATTGGCTACCTTTAATGTAATGTGCACGCCCAAACTCAATTTCACACACTGATTATTATATATTAAATCTGTTTTTAGAAGATCATCATTTTGAATGCATTTTTTGCAAAATCTTATATAGAACTTTATATTGCAAGTGTGCAATCTGAGTTTCCTATTTAATAGGCTATTCTGATGTTCAATACACAGTCAGGACTCACTTTTCCCACTGAATTACAGTTTATTCCACTATCTTTTGACACACTGTCTGGATAGTTCAAATATTTGACACACAGTCAGGACTTACTTTGCCCACTGAATTATAGTCAAAATTTCTTTTATTTTATGACCCATTGTCTAGATAAAAGATCCCTAGGTTGTTTAACTAAATATATCCCAAAGGCAACCCTTGAGATGTATCTCAATAATTAAAAGGTTCCCAACTAATAATTAAAGGTTGGCCAGACCATTAACCATTAGAAGGGCTAGGAATCAATAACACTGGGTTTATTAGTTACTTGCAGTCAAAGGCTATTTTATGTAAGGGTTATATATTTATTTAAAATGCTAGAAGCTTATGTTATTGTTATCAAGTTTGTTATCAACAATATTTGTTATTAACTTGGTCTAAAACCAAGTGTATTTATACCTCTTGGGGCAATACAAATAATGTGATTTGTGCTATTCTACTCTCTAATAATATGCTTATTAACTAATACATAAGTAGAAATACAAATACAGTCAACACCCCAAATGCACCTCCATAAATGCACACCCTCTCTAAATGCACACTTTCTTTCATTCCCTAATACACTATATGCATTATGTGCACTATGTGCACTATGTGTGCACTGTGCACACAGTGCATGAAAAAAAATCAGGGTTACTATGAATGGCACATCTCTACGCAATACCCTTGGAATTCTGTAGCATCATTGTATCATCGATCAATCAGGTCAGATTAGCCTTGTGTACACAAGGAAGATGTGAGAATGACTGTAAAGTGTTCAAGGCAGCGTACATGCTTCAACGTCTGCCAATTTCTGATAATCAAACACCATATACTCAAAATGTCTCTTTTTCAACAGTCAATGCTGCCATGACATCTTGTAATTATATATTTAATATTAATGTTATTATTACGATTATGCTAAGCAAAATGCCAATCATATATTATCATCTTGATAAGAATCTTATAATTACCCAGCAAGATCTGTTCCGCGTTTTGATTTCCAATTGAAATATTTATATAAAATAAAAGACACCTCATACATATCAATACAAATAAAAAAAAAGTTCCTCTGGTTAGTTATTAAAACGTTTTTTTTAGGAGACCCAACCCAAATCAAACAATAACTCTCACCTTGGACTCTGTCAAAAAATAAATTGTATTTTGTTTTTCCAAAAAAAAAAAAAAAAATCAATTCGCGTCTGTCCTACCAAAAAAAAAACCAATAGGATAAATAATTAATGTGTACACATCGATCAATCAACAAACTCTTTTTTAAAAATATAAACATGCCTAAAAAAAATGTTAAACGAAGAAACAGAGAGAATAAAGCTGAAAATTTTTTTGGGTAAGTGTTTATCGGAGGTTATCGCCCGCCACCCGTCGTCACTCTAACTAAATTTTTTTTTTTTTTTAACATTATGACAACAAAAAAGAACCAATCGCAAAGCTCTAATATAATTTATTAAAAAAACATTGTTTTTGTTAAATTAATGTAAAAATAAAATTCATATATTTTCAATCAACATAAAATGTTATTAGAGGGACTTACGTAGGTACGTTTCGAATGACTGAGCTTAATAAATCTAATCCATATTTATCACGTTTCTTATTTGCAATTAATTTATGAAAGATGCCTAAAATTGGCTCAAGTTGTCCGTTTGAAATTATTATATTTGAATATCGATAAAGATATGTTTGTAATAATTTAACTAGCCCAGGAATATTTCCTTTAAAAGAAAATAAAATTATTTTTAATCGAGTATTATTTATTAATATAAAATTATATATTGATATTAATTACCAGCAGATTCCCAAACAACATGATTCAACAATTGTGGCAACAAATCTCTGTAGAAATCAGGAATCTGAGGTTCATTATGTAATTCAAGAAGTTGTGAAAAGATTTGAAAAGCGTATGGAATAAATTCTAAAATTCAAATAGTAATAATAATAAGTTTAATGACCTTATTAATTTAAAACAAAAAATCAAAAACTTGAAAATATACCAGATACGTCCTTATCCATAATGTATTGGAATGGACCACTCAGAGTATCCTCGAAATTTTTTCTTAGTTCAGTATTACCTTGACAATTAAATCTAGATGGGTATAATTAGCTGAATAATAAATATCAATTTTTGAAAATTTTTCTAAAAGCATAAAACATTTTTGATATGATTAACCAAAAAATTGAAATTATTAATCAAAAAAACTAATATACCTAATCAATGCTCCAATTGATTCAAAAACATAATAATTGAAACGAGGATTACTCGGATTTTTACTAATTTGTCCTAAAATAGCAATTAAGTGACTCATAATATCTCCAACATAAGGTAAAATATCCTCACGACTAGTGAAAATAACTCTCATTACAGCTAAAATAAAAAATCAGCCTCCATTATTAACAAAAGAAATAAATTTACAACAAAATTTTAAAAATATAGATATACCTTTCATGAGATAATCATTTTCCGCTAATGTTTGAGGTGTTGTTCCTGACTCGATTAATCTGAATAAACTAATTAAAAGTTCTTGAGTATATGGCTTAATATCTGCCCTACTAAATCTTTAATGGGTTTTGTAAGTTGTTGTATCAGTAATTTTACATTATTAATTGAACAAATAAAAAAAAGCACACATACAACATTGCATTATCTTTGCGCATTGTTAACATTTTATCAATAGTTATTGCAGCATAAGTATGAACTACATAATTGGAAGATGAAACATAAAAGTTCTTGAGTATATGGCTTAATATCTGCCCTACTAAATCTTTAATGGGTTTTGTAAGTTGTTGTATCAGTAATTTTACATTATTAATTGAACAAATAAAAAAAAGCACACATACAACATTGCATTATCTTTGCGCATTGTTAACATTTTATCAATAGTTATTGCAGCATAAGTATGAACTACATAATTGGAAGATGAAACATGTTTGACTAATAATGGGAAAACACTAGTTAGTTGTGATTTATTCATCTACATATATATTTATATAAAAAAATAATAAAGCATTAATCATAAGTTTGCATAACAATAACAATAATAATGTCTATTTTAAAGCAAAAGAGAAGAATTACCTGATTTCTGAAAGTGTATATGTATTTAATTGCATCGACCTTCAAAACTGGTTCCCCACTATCAACAACAGTTTGTAGATCTGGTAAGACATTTGCAGAGAACCATTCAACAACGTCTACTAAATCATTTACTACCGTGAGACCATACTTGTAATTTAATTTGAATAATCTGATTATCTCTTTTGCAAACAATAAAGCTTCGTTAAGTTCAACTGATAATTGAATAGTATAACTTACTTTTGTAGTAGTTCCAGGAGTGGCAATCGAAGTTAAAAGGTAAATTGCTACATCTTTGTCTTTCCAATTTTTTTGATTTTCATTATAACGCTAATGATAAAAAACCAAATTTTGTTTTTTTTTTATTCCTTGCTGCCATTAATTTTATATATGTATAAATTATAATACCTTTAGGAATTCTGCAATATAAACTCCAATAACTCTTGTTATATTGTGCAAATACTGTGACATCAAGCTGCGCACAAAGTCTGTTGCAGCCCTTCTACGAGTATCACTATCTAATAAAAAGATAGATAGAAAGTAAATAAAAAGTTCTTCAAGTGATTCTTAAAAAAAGTTTCGCAGTACCTGATCCTTCCAAATCCCTTCTGATATATTCAATAGGATCAAATTCGAATAACTCCTCGTCAACAACTATATTTTAAATTGATATATGTATAAATATAAATTTATTATAATTAATAAATAATGTTTTCTTTTCCATATATTAAATAAATGTATTCACCTCTAAAGTACATATTTGGAAGTACAATTTTTTCACAAAACTGTTTGATAGCCTCATCATTATTAAAAAGATTTTTGAAAATAACTTGATATCTTTCTAGTTTTGCAACTGTGGATAAAAAGGTCATGGCTTTACTCACAAGCTAATAAAATAATAATAAATAATAATATAATAAAGTATAAATGAAGATTTTTCTCTTTAAAAAAAAATATTAATAAATTTTATTCTACATAAAATAATTACAATATCATATTTAGGTTCCAATCCTATTGTAGTTAAAAAGTTCCAGATTGTATTAACAAACTGTGGTAACATTGTAGATATTTCTTCATATTTATTTGTGTACAATATAATAATTTCACAAACTGAAGATTTTATTTTCTCAAGCGTGCCAGCTTCTTCCTCACTCTAATAAAAAAATTTAAGTTATTATTCTTTTCTCACAAATTAAATAATTTAATTAATAGTGATAATTTAAAAAAGCACCTGTGTTTCCAATAATGGATTTTGATAAGTTATGTATTTATGAAAAAGATTCATACATGCTTCCCAATTATCTTCAAAAAATGGAGGAAGATCTTGACAATTGAGATCATAGAAAACTTTTAATAGTAGTAATAATGTGTTGGAAAACAATTGAAGATTTTCTTTATTGTTGTTGTTTTGCTCAATATATGCATCAGTTGCCTATATTTATTAATAATCTTTAGTATTGAATTTAAATATTATGAAAATTTTTAATTTTTTATACCTGTAAAAGTTGAAAAAATGGTTCACAAAATATATCCAAAACATAATTTATCTCTTTGTATAAAGGATCCGATTTAAATTGATGCTTCCATCTAGATCATTTAATTTTTTTATTATTTATAATTAGTAATCTTGAAATAATTAATAATATATTATATATTATGTTGATTTTGTAAACTTACTTTTTGAAGATAGAATGAGCTGTTAATAATATAGCATTATTACGGACAAAATCATCTTGACTAAAGTTATGAATCAATTTCTAAAAAGATGTGAAGTCAGACTAAATTTAAAAATAAATTGACATTGGATTATATTAATAAGAGGTCAACTTACTGGTAATAAATTTTCCCAGTCATCAGGAAAATCAGAATCGGCAATGATAGTTATACTTTCAATGAGTTGAGTTTGAAGGGTGGTAGGAACAGCAATTAAAATGTCAATAATGGTATCCTTTATGGTTTTTCTTATTTCAGGCTGGATCTTAGACTCTTCTTCCTAATAATTATCATTAAATGAATTCAATATCATAAATTATTGTGATGCCATAACAAAAAAATATTAATGAGTAGACATGTTAGGAAAATTTAAATACCCAGTTCCATTTTCTTTTAACATAGTTTTTAAAAAGTAATGCAGCGGCAGTTCGTACAGTTATTTCAAGAGTATCATTTGTGACAAGTTGTAAAAGAGAGATTGAAAAGTTTGGTCGTTGTTCTTCTACTTCTAATTGTTTCTCGGCTAATATATAAAAGAAAGCTTAGTTAACAACTGATCTATAAAAATTTTTTTCTACTCATCAAAATTAGCAAGGAAATCGGTTACCATATGCTCTGGTACTAGGTTCTAAAGTTTGTCGTAGGGATAAAGCTAAAGTGATTAAGTTTGAATCTTCTAAAGATGTAGAGAGCCCAGACATTATTATTGTTGATATTTATTATGGATTTTAAATATGAGGGAATTGAGAAAATAATTTAATTGATTGATAGTGAAAATCATTGTCAAATGACATACAAAAAGAAAGCTTAGTTAACAACTGATCTATAAAAATTTTTTTCTACTCATCAAAATTAGCAAGGAAATCGGTTACCATATGCTCTGGTACTAGGTTCTAAAGTTTGTCGTAGGGATAAAGCTAAAGTGATTAAGTTTGAATCTTCTAAAGATGTAGAGAGCCCAGACATTATTATTGTTGATATTTATTATGGATTTTAAATATGAGGGAATTGAGAAAATAATTTAATTGATTGATAGTGAAAATCATTGTCAAATGACATACATGACTTAGGGCTTGGATCTGGATAGAATTTTGTTGGAACAGATATTGATATCCTCTTAAAATATCCGGATATCCTTACTATTACTATTACTATTATTTTCAATTCGGGTATCATTTTAAAATCTTAATCTGAATGAATATCCAGATATACTTTTTATAATAAAGTTATTAGTCAAGCAATCTGTCATGATTGATTGATGTTGAAATTTTGTTAATAAAAGGGGTTACTTGCCACCCATACTATGGGATATGGGTGGGCAGGGCTTTGATATTAGTAAAAATCCCATCCCAGATCCCATCTCATATCCCATGTTCCATAACCCATTCCATGTCCATTGTGGTGTTACAAATTATAATATACACAAAAATAGTTGACCACATATATGGGGCATGCTGCAACAAAACCAGACAAAGTGAACATTTGTATTACCAAGGATTTCAGGGATCAAAATTTGTAATGTGATTATTAAAATTTCCCATTTGTTTAATATTAAGTGATATATAGAATTACT